TGTCAGCCCCCCACAGCAGCTCCACCACTGGGGCATTTGACTTTGTGGCAGGACGGAGTGGGAGAACTGGTGGCATGGCCCATTTCTGGGGATGCCTGAGTGAGAATTCCCTTGGTGCAGCTGGCCAGAGCACACTGTTTGCCATCTACGTGGCCAGCACACCTCAGAACACGTCTGTGCTTGCAGGTGAGATTTGGAAGGGGCTCGGTCTGCAGAGCCAGGTGCTGTTTTAAGTGCCAACATAGTCTACACTCTTGGAGCACTATGCTGTGGTGAAGAGAGAGATGTTTTCTGTAAACAGCGACAAGTAGCAGTGTAACTCATGACTGGAGGAGCTATTTAGGTAGGCAGTGAGAGCCTTTCTGAGACAATAGGAAACTGAGGCCATGCTGTAGTTCCAGAGTTGGGAGCAGGGACATCGGCTGTGGGTGAGGGTGTTCAAGGCACAGGAGCAAAGGCCCGAAGTCAGAAACGAACTTATGTTTTCATGAGCAGAGAAGAACCAGGTGTGGCTAGAGATTTAAAAAGGAAAGTGGGATAAAATGACGTTAAGAGACAGGCAGTAAGGAAGATCATTCATGGCCTTTTAAAATGTTTTTTATTTTTTGGTATTAATCTGCAATTACATGAAGAACATTATGTTTACTAGGCTTCCCCCTTCAACAAGTCCCCCCCACGATCCCTATTATAGTCACTGTCCATCAGTGTAGTAAGATGCTGTAGAATCACCCCTTGTCTTCTCTGTGTTGCACAGCCCTCCCTTTACCCCACCCACATTATATATGCAATTTGTAATGCCCCCTTTCTTTTTCCTGCCCTTATCCCTCCCTTCTCACGCATCCTGCTCAGTCCCTTTCCCTTTAGTCCAATAGGTAGTCCATTCTTGGGGTCTGTGATTCCGCTGCTCTTTTGTTCCTTCAGTTTTTCTTTGTTCCTATATTCCAGAGATGAGTGAAATCATTTGGTGCTTGTCTTTATGTGGCTTATTTCACTGAGCATAATATCCTCCAGCTCCATCCCTGTTGTTCCAAATGGTAGGATTTGTTTTCTTCTCTTGGCTGAACAATATTAAATTGTGTATATGTACAACATCTTCTTTATCCATTCATCTACTGATGGACATTTAGGTTGCTTCCATTTCTTGGCTATTGTAAATAGTGCTGAGATAAACATAGGGGTACATCTGTCTTTTTCAAAATGGGCTGCTGTATTCTTAGGGTAAATTCCTAGGAGCGGTATTCTGGGTCAAATGCTATTTCTATTTTGAGCTTTTTGAGGAACCTCCATACTGCTTTCCACAATGGTTGAAAGAATTTACATTCCCGCCAACAGTGTAGGAGGGTTCCCCTCTCTCCACAACCTTGCCAACATTTGTTGTGCTTTGTCTTTTGGATGGTGGCAATCCTTACTGGTGTGAGGTGATATCTCATTGTGGTATTAATTTTCATTTCTCTGATGACAAGTGATGTGGTACATCTTGTCATGTGTCTATTGGCCCCCTGAATTTCTTCTTTGGAGAACTGCCTGTTCAGCTCCCCTGCCCACATTTTCATTGGAACATTTGCATTTTGTTGGTTGAGGTATGTTAGCTCTTTATATATTTTGGATGTCAACCCTTTATTGGATCTGTCATTTATGAATATATTCTCTCATACTGTAGGATGCCCTTTTGTTCTGTTGATGGTGCCCTTAACTGTACAGAAGCTTTTAAGCTTGACATAGTCCCATTTGTTCATCTTTCCTTTCTTTCCCTGGAGAAATATGTTGACGAAGAAGTCGCTCATGTTTATGTCCAAGATATTTTCGCCTGTCTTTCTCTAAGAGTTTTATGGTTTCTTGGCTTACTTTCGGGTGTTCGGTTAATTTTGAATTTACTTTTGTGTATGGGGTTAGACAATGATCCATGATGGCTCCTTTTTTGCAGCCATCACCTCCGGCTTTGGAGCTGTGAGCCAGCCCACCAGCTGTGGGACCAGTACATCTGGGTTTGGCAGCACCATCTCAGCGCCCTTCACATCTATGGTGTCAAAAGGCGCCACTGGCAGTGGGGGCTTTGGGACACGTGTGCCTGCCCCCCACAGCAGCTCCACCACTGGGGCATTTGGCTTTGGGTTAGCATGGAGTGGGAGAACTGGTCTTAAGAACCCTTTTTGGGGAGCCTTAAAACCCAGCTCCCTGGGTACAGCTGGCCAGAGCACCCCCCTCTCCCTTCCACGTGGCCAGCACACCCCAGATCCCATCTGGGATTGCAGGTGAGATTTGGAATGGGCCCGGTCTGCAGTGCCAGGTTCTGTTTTACATGCTGACAGTGTCTCTGCTTTCGGAGCTGTATGCTGTGGTGAAGATTTAGATGTTATCACAGAACTTTTCTGTAAAGAGCATCAGGTACCAGTGTAACTCATCACCGGAGGATCTATTTAGGTAGTCAGTGGCAGCCTTTCTGAGCCAATAGGAAACTGAGGTGATGACCGCAACTTCAGAGTTTGTAGCAGGGACCTCGTCTGGGGTTGAGGGTTTTGCAGGCAGTGGAGCAAAGGCATGAAGGCAGAGACAAGGTTATATTTTCATGAGCAGAGAAGAGCCAGTGTGGCTAAAGGTTTAAATAGGCAGATGGGATAAAATGACATTAAGAGGCAGGCAGAAAGGAAGGTAATTCATGGCTTTATAAAATGGCTTTTTTTGTTTTTTTGGTATCGATCTACAATTACTATAAGAACATAATTTTTTTTGGCCCTGCCCTTCACCGTGTACCCTTCACCGTCCCCATTAGAGTCACTGTCCATCAGCATAGTAACATGCTGTAGAATCATTACCTGTCTTCTGTGTGTAGCCTAGCCCTCCCCGTGCCCCCCCGTATTATACATGCTAATCAAAATGCCCCCTTTCTTTTTCCATGCCCTTCTCCATCCCTTCACATCCATCCTTTATCCCTGTCCCTTTGGTAACTGTTAGTCCATTCTTGGGTTCTGTGATTCTGCTGCTGTTTTGTTCCTTCAGTTTTTCCTTTGCCCTTATACTCCCAAGGTGAGTGAAATCATTTGGTACTTGTCTTTCTCCCCCTCACTTATTTCACTGAACATAATACCCTCAAGCTCCATCCATGTTGTTGCAAAGGGTAGGATTTGTTCTCTTCTTATAGCTGAATTATATTCCATTGTGCATACATATCAAATCATTTTTATCCATTCGTCTACTGATGGACACTTAGTCTGTTTCCATTTCTCGGCTGTTTTGAATAGTGCTGTGATAAATATAGGGGTGCATCTGTCTTTTTTTGAACTGGGCAGCTGTATTCTTAGGGTAAATTAATTGGTGTGGAATTACTGGGTCAAATGGTATTTCTATTTTGAGCTGTTTAAGGAACCTCCATATTGCTTTTCACAATGGTTGAATGAATTTACATTCCCACCGACAGGGTAGGAGGGTTTCCCTTTCTCCGCAACCACGCCAACATTTGTTGTTTGTGTTTTGTATGGCGGTGGTCCTTCCTGGTGTGAGCGGATATCTCATTGTGGTCTTAATTGTCTTTTTTCTGATGACAAGCGTTATGACACATGATTTTATGTGTCTAGTGGCCATCTGAATTTCTTCTTTGGAGAACTGTATGTTTTACTCCCATGCCCATTTTTTAATTGGATTATTTGCTTTTTGTTTGTTGAGCTGTGTTAGCTCATGATATATTTTGGATGTCGACCCTTAATCAGATCTGTCATTTATGAATATATTCTCCCATACTGTAGGATGTCCTTTTGTTCTGTTGATGGTGTTCTTTACTTTACAGAAGCTTTTAAACTTGTCATAGTCCCATTTGTTCATTTTTGCTGTTGTTTCCCTTGCCTGCGGAGATACGTTCATGAAGAAGTCGCTCATGTTTATGTCCAAACAGATTTTTGCCTGTCTTTGTCTAAGAGTTTTCTGGTTTCATGGTTTACATTCTGATGTTTGATCCATTTCGAATTTACTTTTGTGTATTGAGTTAGATAATGATCCATGTCTCCTCCTTGTTTGCAGCCATCACCTCGGCCTTTGCAGCTATCACCTTGACCACCAGCACCGGAACCAGTAGCTCAGTGTTCGGCGGTACTACCTTATCACCCATCATGTCCAGGGTGTCAGTAGGACCTGCTGGCAATGGGGGTTTTCTGATCAGCATGGCAGCCCCCCACAGGAGCTCCATCACTGGGTCGTTCATATTTGGGTCAGGACAGAGTGGGAGAACTGGTCTCAAGAACCCTTTCTGGGAAGCCTTGAATCCAAACTCCCTGGGTACAGCTGGCCAGAGCACACCCTCTCCCTTCCACGTGGCCAGCACAACTCAGAACACATCTGGGATTGCAGGTGAGATTTGGAATGATCTTGGTCTGCTGTGCCAGGCGTTGTCTTAAGTGCTGACACAGTCTCTGCTTTTGGAGCTGTATCCTGTGTTGAAGATTTAGATGTTATCACAGAAGTTATCCATAAACAGCACCAGGTAGCGGTGTAACTCATGACTGGAGGAGCTATTTTGGTAGACAGCGGCAGCCTTTTAGAGACAGTAGAAAACTGAGGCTATGGCCGCAGTTCCAGATTTGGGAGCTGGGGCAGCGGCTGGGGTGAGAACCTTGTAGGTACAGGAGCAAAGGCCCAAAGGCAGAGATGAGCTTATGTTTTCATGAGCAGATAAGAGCCAGGTGTGGCTACAGGTTTAAAAAGGAAAGTGAGATAAAATGACATTAAGAGACAGGCAAAAAGGAAGATCATTCACAGCCTTTTAAAATGTTTTTTTTTTGTTATCAATTTACAATTACCTTAAGAACATTATGTCTATTTGGCTTGCCCCTTCACCAAGTACCCAACCAAAGTCCATCAGAGTCACTGTCCATCAGCGTAGTAACACGCGGTAGAATCACTACTTATCTTCTGTGTGTAGCCTATCCCTCCCCATGCCCCCCACATTATACATGCTAAGCATAATTCCCCCTTTCTTTTTCTCCACCCTTATACCTCTATTCCCATCCATCCTCCTCAGTCCCCTTCCCTTTGAAACTGTTAGTCCATTCTTGGATTTTGTGATTCTGCTGCTGTTTTGTTCCTTTAGTTTTTCCTTTGTTCTTACACTCCAGAGATGAGTGAAATCATTTGGTACTTGTATTTCTCCACCTGGCTTATTTCACTGAGCACAATACCCTGTAGTTCCATCCATGTTGTTGCAAATGGTAGGACTTGTTTTCTTATTATGGCTGAATAATATTCCAGTGTGCATATGTATCACATCTTTTTTATCCATTCATCTACTGATGGACACTTAGGTTCTTTCAATTTCTTGGCTGTTGTAAATAGTGCTGCGATAAACATAGGGTGCATCTGTCTTTTTCAAACTGGGTGCTGTATTCTTAGAGTAAATTCCTAGGAGTGGAATTCCTTGTTCAAATGGTATTTCTATTTTGAGCTTTTTGAGGAACCTCCATAATGCTTTTCACAATGGTTGAAAGAATTTACATTCCCACCAACAGTGTTGTAAGGTTCCTCTTTCACCACAACCTCGGCAACATTTGTTGTTTGTCTTTTGGATGGCAGTGATCCTTCCTGGTGTGAGGTGATATCTCATTGTGGTTTTAATTTGCATTTCTCTGATGGCAAGCGATGTGGCGCATCTCTTCATTTATCTATTGGCCATCTGAATTTCTTCTTTGGAGAACAGTTTTTTTTTAGCTCCCGTGCCCATTTTTTAATTGGAATATTTGCTTTTTGTTTGTTGAGCTGTGTTAGCTCATTATATATTTTGGATGTCGACCCTTAATCAGATCTGTCATTTATGAATATATTCTCCCATACTGTAGGATGTCCTTTTGTTCTGTTGATGGTGTTCTTTACTGTACAGTAGCTTTTAAGCTTGATATAGTCCCATTTGTTCATTTTTGCTTTTGTTTCCCTTGCCTGGGAGAATACATTAATGAAGAATTCACTCATGTTTATGTCCAAGAGATTTTTGCCTGTTTTTGTCTAAGAGTTTTATGGTTTCATGACTTGCATTCAGGTCTTTGATCCAATTCGAATTTACTTTTGTGTATAGTGTTAGACAATGATCCATGTTTCCTCCTTTTTTGCAGCCATCACCTCGGCCTTTGCAGCAATGACCCTGACAACCAGCAGCGGGACCAGTACAACATGGTTTGGCAGCACCATCTCAGTTCCCTTCACGACCAGGGTGTGAGCAGGTCCCGCTGGCAGTGGGGGTTTTAGGATGAGCATGGCTGCCCCTCCGACACCGCTGGGACGTTCAGCTTTGTGTTAGGATGGAGTGGAAGAACTGGTCTCAGGATCCCTTTCTGGGGAGCCTTGAATCCGAACTCCCTGGGTGCAGCTGGCCCGAGCACACCCTCTCCCTTCCATGTGTCCAGGACGCCTCAGAACACGTCTGGGATTGCAGGTGAGATTTGGAATGGGCTTGGGGTGCAGTGCCATGCGCTGTCTTAAGTGCTGACACAGTCTCTGCTTTCAGAGCTGTATGCTGTGGTGAAGATTTAGATGTTATCACAGAAGTTATCTGTAAACAGCGTCAGGCAGCAGTGTAACTCATCAACAGGAGGAGCTATTTAGGTAGACAGCGGCAGCCTTTCTGAGACAATAGCAAAGTGAGGCCATGGCCACATTTCCAGAGTTGGGAGAATGGACAGCAGCTCGGGGTAAGAATGTTACCAGCACAGGAGCAAATGCCCGAAGGCAGAGATGAGCTTATGTTTTCATGAGTAGAGAAGAGCCAGGTGTGTCTAGAGGTTATAAAGGAAAGTGGGATAAAATGACATTAAGAGACAGGCAGAAAGGAACATCATTCATGGCCATTCAAAATGGGTTTTTTTTTTTGGTATCTGTGCAATTACCTTAAAAACATTATGTTTATTTGGCTCCCCTCTTCACCAAGTACCCCACAGAAACTCTGTTAGAGTCACTTTCCATCAGCATAGTAACATGCTGTAGAATCACTGCTTGTCTTTTCTGTGTAGCCTAGCCCTCCCCGAGACCCACCACATACCTTGACCACCAGCACCGGAACCAGTAGCTCAGTGTTCGGCGGTACTACCTTATCACCCATCATGTCCAGGGTGTCAGTAGGACCTGCTGGCAATGGGGGTTTTGTGATCAGCATGGCAGCCCCCCACAGGAGCTCCATCACTGGGTCGTTCATATTTGGGTCAGGACGGAGTGGGAGAACTGGTCTCAAGAACCCTTTCTGGGAAGCCTTGAATCCAAACTCCCTGGGTACAGCTGGCCAGAGCACACCCTCTCCCTTCCACGTGGCCAGCACAACTCAGAACACATCTGGGATTGCAGGTGAGATTTGGAATGATCTTGGTCTGCTGTGCCAGGCGTTGTCTTAAGTGCTGACACAATCTCTGCTTTTGGAGCTGTATCCTGTGTTGAAGATTTGGATGTTATCACAGAAGTTATCCATAAACAGCACCATGTAGCGCTGTAACTCATGACTGGAGGAGCTATTTTGGTAGACAGCGGCAGCCTATTAGAGACAGTAGAAAACTGAGGCTATGGCCGCAGTTCCAGATTTGGGAGCTGGGGCAGCGGCTGGGGTGAGAACCTTGTAGGTACAGGAGCAAAGGCCCAAAGGCAGAGATGAGCTTATGTTTTCATGAGCAGATAAGAGCCAGGTGTGGCTACAGGTTTAAAAAGGAAAGTGAGATAAAATGACATTAAGAGACAGGCAAAAAGGAAGATCATTCACAGCCTTTTAAAATGTTTTTTTTTTGTTATCAATTTACAATTACCTTAAGAACATTATGTCTATTTGGCTTGCCCCTTCACCAAGTACCCAACCAAAGTCCATCAGAGTCACTGTCCATCAGCGTAGTAACACGCGGTAGAATCACTACTTATCTTCTGTGTGTAGCCTATCCCTCCCCATGCCCCCCACATTATACATGCTAAGCATAATTCCCCCTTTCTTTTTCTCCACCCTTATACCTCTATTCCCATCCATCCTCCTCAGTCCCCTTCCCTTTGAAACTGTTAGTCCATTCTTGGATTTTGTGATTCTGCTGCTGTTTTGTTCCTTTAGTTTTTCCTTTGTTCTTACACTCCAGAGATGAGTGAAATCATTTGGTACTTGTATTTCTCCACCTGGCTTATTTCACTGAGCACAATACCCTGTAGTTCCATCCATGTTGTTGCAAATGGTAGGACTTGTTTTCTTATTATGGCTGAATAATATTCCAGTGTGCATATGTATCACATCTTTTTTATCCATTCATCTACTGATGGACACTTAGGTTCTTTCAATTTCTTGGCTGTTGTAAATAGTGCTGCGATAAACATAGGGTGCATCTGTCTTTTTCAAACTGGGTGCTGTATTCTTAGAGTAAATTCCTAGGAGTGGAATTCCTTGTTCAAATGGTATTTCTATTTTGAGCTTTTTGAGGAACCTCCATAATGCTTTTCACAATGGTTGAAAGAATTTACATTCCCACCAACAGTGTTGTAAGGTTCCTCTTTCACCACAACCTCGGCAACATTTGTTGTTTGTCTTTTGGATGGCAGTGATCCTTCCTGGTGTGAGGTGATATCTCATTGTGGTTTTAATTTGCATTTCTCTGATGGCAAGCGATGTGGCGCATCTCTTCATTTATCTATTGGCCATCTGAATTTCTTCTTTGGAGAACAGTTTTTTTTTAGCTCCCGTGCCCATTTTTTAATTGGAATATTTGCTTTTTGTTTGTTGAGCTGTGTTAGCTCATTATATATTTTGGATGTCGACCCTTAATCAGATCTGTCATTTATGAATATATTCTCCCATACTGTAGGATGTCCTTTTGTTCTGTTGATGGTGTTCTTTACTGTACAGTAGCTTTTAAGCTTGATATAGTCCCATTTGTTCATTTTTGCTTTTGTTTCCCTTGCCTGGGAGAATACATTAATGAAGAATTCACTCATGTTTATGTCCAAGAGATTTTTGCCTGTTTTTGTCTAAGAGTTTTATGGTTTCATGACTTGCATTCAGGTCTTTGATCCAATTCGAATTTACTTTTGTGTATAGTGTTAGACAATGATCCATGTTTCCTCCTTTTTTGCAGCCATCACCTCAGCCTTTGCAGCAATGACCCTGACAACCAGCAGCGGGACCAGTACAACATGGTTTGGCAGCACCATCTCAGTTCCCTTCACGACCAGGGTGTGAGCAGGTCCCGCTGGCAGTGGGGGTTTTAGGATGAGCATGGCTGCCCCTCCGACACCGCTGGGACGTTCAGCTTTGTGTTAGGATGGAGTGGAAGAACTGGTCTCAGGATCCCTTTCTGGGGAGCCTTGAATCCGAACTCCCTGGGTGCAGCTGGCCCGAGCACACCCTCTCCCTTCCATGTGTCCAGGACGCCTCAGAACACGTCTGGGATTGCAGGTGAGATTTGGAATGGGCTTGGGGTGCAGTGCCATGCGCTGTCTTAAGTGCTGACACAGTCTCTGCTTTCAGAGCTGTATGCTGTGGTGAAGATTTAGATGTTATCACAGAAGTTATCTGTAAACAGCGTCAGGCAGCAGTGTAACTCATCAACAGGAGGAGCTATTTAGGTAGACAGCGGCAGCCTTTCTGAGACAATAGCAAAGTGAGGCCATGGCCACATTTCCAGAGTTGGGAGAATGGACAGCAGCTCGGGGTAAGAATGTTACCAGCACAGGAGCAAATGCCCGAAGGCAGAGATGAGCTTATGTTTTCATGAGTAGAGAAGAGCCAGGTGTGTCTAGAGGTTATAAAGGAAAGTGGGATAAAATGACATTAAGAGACAGGCAGAAAGGAACATCATTCATGGCCATTCAAAATGGGTTTTTTTTTTTGGTATCTGTGCAATTACCTTAAAAACATTATGTTTATTTGGCTCCCCTCTTCACCAAGTACCCCACAGAAACTCTGTTAGAGTCACTTTCCATCAGCATAGTAACATGCTGTAGAATCACTGCTTGTCTTTTCTGTGTAGCCTAGCCCTCCCCGAGACCCACCACATTATACATGCTAATCGTAATGCCCCCTTTCTTTCTCCCTGCCCTTATCCCTCCCTTCCCACCCATCCTCCTCAGTCCCTTTCCCTTTGGTAACTGTTATTCCATTCTTGGGTTCTGTGATTCTGCTGCTGTTTTGTTCCTTCAGTTTTTCCTTTGCTCTTATACTCCAGAGATGAGTGAAATCATTTGATACTCCTCTTTCTCCGCCTCACTTATTTCACTGAACATAAGTCCCTCGTGCTCCATCCATGTTGTTGCAAATGGTAAGATTTGTTTTCTTCTTATAGCTGAATTATATTCCATTGTGCATATGTATCAAATCTTTTTTTATCCATTCATCTACTGATGGACACTTAGGTTGTTTCAATTTCTTGGCTGTTTTAAATAATGCTGTGATAAACATAGGGGTGCATCTGTCTCTTTCAAAATATAGGTGTGCTGTATTCTTAGAGTAAATTCCTAGGAGTGGAATTCCTTGTTCAAATGGTATTTCTATTTTGAGCTTTTTGAGGAACCTCCGTAAAGCTTTCACAATGGTTGAATGAATTTACATTCCTACCAACAGTGTTGTAAGGTTCCTCTTTCACCACAACCTTGCCAACATTTGTGGTTGTTTGTCTTTTGTATGGCAGTGATCCTTCCTGGTGTGAGGTGATATTTCATTGTGGTTTTAATTTGCATTTCTCTGATGACAATCGATGTGGCGCATATCTTCATTTGTCTATTAGCCATCGGATTTTCTTCTTTGGAGAACTGTCTGTTCAGCTCCCCTGCCCATTTTTTAATTGGATTTACTTTTTGTTTGTTGAGCTGTGTTAGCTCATTATATATTTTGGATGTCAACTCTTTATCAGATCTGTCATTTATGAATATATTCTCCCATACTGTAGGATGTCCTTTTCTTATGTTGTTGGTGTTCTTTACTGTACAGAAGCTTTTAAGCTTGGTATAGTCCCACTTGTTCATTTTTGCTTTTGTTTCCCTTGCCTGGGGAGATACATTAATGAAGAATTCACTCATGTTTATGTCCAAGAGATTTTTGCCTGTTTTTGTCTAAGAGTTTTATGGTTTCGTGACTTACATTCAGGTCTCTTATCCATTTCAAATTTACTTTTTTGTATGGGGTTAGACAATGATCCATGTTTCCTCCTCTTTTGCAGCCATCACCTCGGCCTTTGCAGCAGTGACCCTGACAACCAGCAGTGGGACCAGTACAACATGGTTTGGCAGCACCATCTCAGTGCCCTTCACGTCCAGGGTATTAGCAGGTCCCACTGGCAGTGGGGGCTTTAGGATGCGCATGGCTACCCCCCACAGCAGCTCCACCACTTGGACATTCAGCTTGGTTCAGGACAGAGTGGGACAACTGGTCTCAGGAACCCTTTGTGGGGAGGGCTGAATCCAAACTCCCTATGTGCAGCTGGCCAGAGCACACCCTTTGCCTTCCCTGTGGCCAGCATGCCTCAGAACACATCTGTGTTTGTACATCATATTTGGAATGGGCTCGGTGCCGGAGTCCAGCTCCAGCTGACATGTGGGTCATGAAGGAAAGGACAGCATCAACGAGTGAGATCAGTGAGGAGATGAAACACCCAATTAAAGTTGTAACATCTGACATCAAGCAGCAGGGTCTTTATTTTTGTATCTTTTTACAGTTTACATAATTTTGAACATTTTTTAAAATTATGAATAATACAATCCTTTTTCTGTCAGTTTACATAATTTCAGCTTATTACCCTTAATTAAATATCATTATTTCTTCTTATAGTAGCCATTTAACATTTAATTTTTAACTTTCCCCTAGTCTATTGTGATTAGTAATTCATGTAAGCTATGTGCTAGGTGCTAAACAGAAAATGGCATAAGGCAGCGTGTGGGTTAAGCGTGTGGGCTATGATTTTTACTTTAAGTGTGTAAGATTATATAGTCTTTTAGATATGTGTCTAAGGTGTGTGTCTAAGGCTATGTAAAGTTTAATCAGGTTATATAAAATGCAAGCTATATGTCTTTTGGTTATTAAGTGTAGCTATATTATTAATTAAATCCTATCCTACACATGTGAGTTGAGACTTACATCTAAAATCTAGGGATGGTACTCCTGTCACCCATTCCTTAACATTCATATGAATACAATAAAAACACCTTATTCTTTTATAATATTCATTCCACAATTTCAGATGTTTACACCTTTCCTCCTGCATCTACAGGCACCAGGGCCTTGCAGTCCTCTTTATCCTTTATATAATAACACTAAATCTGCTCTTATTACCTTACTATTAATATACTAATATTTTATAAATTTGTCATAAACTTTTATATATGGGATATTTGTAAATATAAATTTTATTTTGCTCATAAATTCTTTCTATGAGGGGGTTATCAGAGGTGTCTTCTAATATTATAAGCAACATAAGGGGGGCCCTGGGCAGTGGGGACTATTAATCTTTATTACTTTGCTGTTTCATATAAGTTTCTTGGGAGAATGGGTTTTTCCATGGCCTAGGTTCCAATAACTCCTTCTCTGCCAATATTCTAAAGAAATCCCGGTTAGTCATGTTTGAATTGTTACAAAGGGGAGGACAAACTGCATCTAGTTTTAAGAGAGGCCCGGGCTGTTCTGCCTCACTTATTTGCGGCAGTATGCCTGGAACAGTTGGTCCCATAACACTGCTTTCATTTCCGGAATTGCTGCTTTGGTCAATATTTTGGGTTATGTTATTTACTAAAGATGAATAAATCTTAAGTACATAAGATTTCCCATATATGAGCCCAATCACCAACATCATAACTGCAAAAATAAGTGCGGGAATTAGCAGGGGCCAGCTATGAGGGGCCTGCGCCATCTCCCCCTTTTTTATTTTTTGCAGCTAATTGAAGCATCTTCAATTTCAAATGGGTTATTCATATTCTTGTGCTCAGCAGTTGGATGAAGACTGGGAAAAGGAGTAGAAGGGAGAGTATAATTAATGCTGACATTCTGAAATTTATAAAAAAGGGAAACCAAGCAGTATGGGTAGTATATGGTCACAGGGTAGCCAGGAAAGAATTAGCAACTTTAGGAGCTGTGGCTGAGGATACATGAGTTTCACTAATAGCTCTTATCTTTTTGTGTAAATTGGCCATATTTAAAGAAGTATTAGAATTATCACAAATACCTAATAAATGATTTTTCACACTGTCCCAAGAAGTTTCAGTGGAATTATATAAGTAGGGAGTCATGCAAATTTATTATACTGACTGTAACATTTGGTGATCAAGCGGGTTTTTAAATTTTGGACTTGATTTTCTACATACAGCAGGGTTTTTTCTAAAACATTAATTCATGCCTCAATTTTTAAATTAATCTGCTCTTGTAAATATAAAGCTACTGAAACATTTTTGCTTAAAGTGTCTACGTGGTTGGGTGTGTGGATTTCTTGTACTAAAGCAGTAGTGGATAATGCAAATGAGCTGATGAGTGTAATTAATGCAGTGATTCCTAATATTAAGGCAGCTACAAACTGCTTTGGGTGGCTTAAAGCATGATTAATAAACTGAAGAACTTGTATTTCTGGATCATTATACTAGGGCTCTTTTAAAACTACAGGAAGAATAACATAAGAAGGCTGATGTACAAGCATAAAAACAGTAGGACCATAAATAGGGTCTCTTTAAGGGCATTAACTTTAGACTTTAATTTTTGATCAATAAACTTTTGAGTGGCTAAAGCCAATGATACATTTTTAGACAACTAATCAGTAAGCGGCAGTGTGGGTCTCTTGTACTAGGGCTACAGCTGAAAAAGAAAGGGAAGTTGCTAAGGTAATGAGTGCAGCAATACCAAGAATGAAAGTTGCCACAAAATGCTTTCCCAAAGTAAGAGAGTGCTGGTACCACAAAGTGCTTGTAGCCCATAATCATTAAACTACATAGAATTTAAAGCAACAGAAATTATCAAATATGGGGGATGGTGCACAATAAAAATGACTTTTGCATTAGGTTTTACAAAAATACAAGTAGAGTACAATTATTACAATTTATAATGAATTTATCTATAATTTTGCTAATATTTATAGATATATAATTTTGAAATAGCAAAAAGGCATATAAAGTTAACAAACAGGCTTGAAATTGATAAACAGCTTTTTTTGTGGGTCTATGCAGTGTTACTGGTCTGACAGAAGCTACAACTCGCCATAATTCAGACTGTAGGAAAGATTTTTCATTTAGAGATATAGTTAATGTGGGTGGGACCTAAGCATAACAATAAACAGAGTTTTATGAGTAATAGGCAAACCCTGAAGGCGATCTACAGCTTCAGCTTTCTCCATCAGCTTCTTTATTTGGTCTCAGGTCAGAGGGTCACTTCCTGGAGTTGATCTTGCTAATCGCTGCTGCTGCGGGAGGGAAAACTTGGTCGCGACTGGCGAGCTTTTCAGGAATCTTGCAGAGCGAGGTTCTATAAATGCTGTGCTAGAAGTTCTTCAAGGTTTTTCTTGGGCAGGGACTTTCACTTCATCTCAGGAAGTTGTGTGGGGGAGGAGGTGGTGGTTGAGACTTGTCTGATGAGTTTGTCTGGTACCCACACGGGTGTATCTGGGTCCTGTTTAAAAATACAAGCATATCCTTTCCCACAGGTTATTAAAATATCAGGCTCTTTCTATTGCCCTGTAAGCAGGTGTTTTTATTTTGCTAAAGGTTTGGAATTAATTGAAGACAAAAAGCCACAAAATCATTTTCTTTAGTTTACTTAATCTTATGTAACCAATACCTGTTCTGCTAAAATCTATTTCTTTACTAATTTAGAAATAATTAGTGACTATAAATGACAGCAAACTTATAAATGATGATGTTTAAAGATTTGATAAGAGCTTACTATAGGACAGTTGACATAAGAAAATTTGGATACTTTTGTAACATAAAACATTTAGTTATAAGGTTTAGCATTATCTTCTTTGACAGTGTTTTCCAGGTAAGTATATATTAGATAAATAAGCCAAATTAGCCAAATATTTTTTCAATAAGAAAAAAAATTCCTCTGACATGTTCCAGGGGCCCTCTGGAAAATATCAGAGTTAACTAGAGGTAAAAGCACTTTCTTAAAATCTGATTTTGGTAAGCTGTCAGAAAAATTTTAAGGCACTTGCCTAAACAGCCTAAATAAAATTATGTTACTATGAAACAATACTTATCTATTTAACTAGAATGGCAATAAAAGATTTTAAAGGCAAATACAAAAGGCTACACAGTTATTAGTAAAATTTAGCTTTTAGTCCTTTTAATATTAAGATCTTATTTTAAGTACTTAGATAATTTATTGAAATTTTAAGCATGAGAAACTACTTTGATAAAACAATTAAAAACTTTTTGCAATTTTTTAACATTAAAGCAGACTAATAATTAAAACAAACTTTGTCCTTATAGCTAAGAACAAAATTTTAATTTTGCTGTGTACCTGATATCAAGACTCATTTGCTTTAATTTTATATAGTATGACCATATTAATTTTTCCACAAAATTTCTATTGCTGTTTGTAGGTATACACACTGTAACACACAATTATTAAGATGTTTACCTGCTACACTTAGTTTACTTATTCTTAACAACTATGCTAGATTACTCACAAAACTTTTACCAAAACAATAGACAAGGTTAAGCCTCTCTTTAAGCATTTTTTCTTGAAAGATTTAACACATAAATTAGCTTCAATGACCTTAGGCAGCTGATGACCATAAGGACATGTCTGTTTCAGTTTAACTTAAATTAGCATTAATGCTTAATATCTTTTATTAGAATTTTCTGAAAGTTTTAGAATGCCCAACTTTTACAAGCACTTGTCTTTAAATCAATTGTTATTAATACCACCTGGAGGTTAAAAATATATATTTTTTATTTACACACTTAGACACATAAACATACAGATTGAGACGCAATGACTACAGTTAGCAACACTTCACAAAAGAACATATACACAGACAGACAAACTGACACAAAGACTTGAGTTACTAATATTTAATTGCCTTCTTTCTTTTTAGTTTGCTTGATTATAGATATTTTGGAATCTGGAGGCTTTTTAACTAGTTGAGCAGCACCTGTTCTAAAAGGATTATATTGGGCTGCATTTTCTCCTAAATTTCCTTCTTTTATGGAGTTAATCTTTCATCATAAAGGGGAGCAGAGGCCAGCATCACTTGAAGTTTTGCTACAGTGAGGAGCGCTGTATCCATCTACCGGATAAGGCCTCAACTAATGTCAAAGTGTAAGGTGCTAAGAGACCATGGTTTTTGCAGGCAACCTTTAATTTTTTAAATAATTTATATGGGATGGGCTCCCAGGAGATGCTTTTATTGTTAAATTCTCCTCCAAAAATAATTAGGTAACACACAAATTCTATGTTTCCTTCTTGTTCTGCTTGCTTTAAGGCAGCCCTTACTCCGGTAGGAGTCGTTTGATCAAATCTGGGAGGAGGAGGCTGGAACGGTGGTGGTCTCTGAGTTTTACTAATAGGAGTAGACTCAGAAGGTCTTACAAAGGGATTCTTGGAGGAAGGGTTTTTCTTTAAAGTAGGGGCAATTAATTTAGGTGGATAATTCTCATTATTATATTTGGCAGCTTCCTCCTCCAAATCTGCCTGATCTGTGGGTCAGGAATATTATCATCATCTGGAGGAGCTGATGCCAGCATGACTTTAGGTGTTGTTTGTTTCTCCTTTTTGGTAACTAAATGTATCCTCATCAGCTTCCCCAAGGGGATCTTCCTTTTTGTCTTTTATTTCATTAGTGCCATATCCTTTCCTATTACCTTTTGTTTTCTGCCTGTTGCCTTCCTCTTGAGACCTAGAGTTGGATGGTTTTTATGGGAGGGTCTCTACCTGCTGTTTAGGTTTTAAAACCTCTTTGATTAAATTCCACAATGCAAAGGCATCTGTAGGGACCTTCTCAGGTCCATGGCTGGCATAATATTCCCTTTTCTCTTCTCCAACCTTCTGCCAGGTTGCGAGACTCACTGTGCCTTGGTCAGGAAACCAAGGACAACATTCCTGGACAAAATGTAAGAATTTTGCTAATTGTCTATTGGTGACTTTTATACTTCTACCTACAAGCATATGCATTAAAACTTCGATAAAGAGTCCTCTTTCTTTAGACTCAGTATGGCCCATGGCTTCTCAAAGTTCTGACATATCTGCCCTTTCTCACCCTGCCTTCCTTCACAGAGGGGTCTCGAGCACCCTGAGCAGAATCCTATCTGTCCCTGCAAATGCCATAGTATAAAGAGCTTACCTTCGTGCCCCACCATGGGCGCCACTTGCCGGAGTCCAGCTCCAGCTGAGGTGTGGGTCACGAAGGAAAGGACAGCATCGGCAAGTGAGATGAATGAGGAGATGGAACACCCAATTAAAGTTGTAACATCTCCTGATGTCAAGCCGCAGGGTCTTTGTTATAATGTCTTTTTAAGGTTTACATAATGTTAAACATTTTTTAATCATGAATAATACAATCCTTTTTCTGACAGTTTACATAATTTCAGCTTATTACCCTTAAGTAAATATCATTATTTCTTCTACTAGTAGCCATTTAACATTTAATTTTTAACTTTCCCCTAGTCTATTGTGATTAGTAATTCATGTAAGCTACGTGCTAGGTGCTAAACAGAAAATGGCATAAGACAGCATGTGGGTTAAGCGTGTGGGCTATGATTTTTACTTTAAGTGTGTAAGATTAAATAGACTTTTAGATATGTGTCTAAGGCTATATAAAGTTTAAGCAGGTTATATAAAATGCAAGCTATATGTCTTTTGGTTATTAAGTGTAACTATATTATTAATTAAATCCTATCCTACACATGTGGGTTGAGACTTACATCTAAAATCTAGGGAGAGTACTCCTATCACGCATTCCTTAACATTCCTATGATAATAATGTAAAGTTATGTTCTTTATAGTCTGCACCAGCAGTTCTCAAAGTGGCCTGCGAACCCTGGGGAACTCCACGACCCTTTGAAGGGACACACTGGGGTCAAAATTATTCTCACCAAATGCTATCGTGTTACTCTCCCTTTTCACTCTCACTCTCACTCAAGACTAGGAGTGGAGTTTACTAATAGGTGTGACAGTTCAACAAATTAGATGCAGAAGCAGGTAAGAATCCAGCTGTCTTCTATTAAGGCAGGCACTGAAGAGATTCCCAAGTATGGAAGGATGCCACTTTCCTTACTAAATTGGTTTTGGTACACATGGCTATTTTTCAACAAAAATGCCTTCATATTTATTTTTAACTGAATTTATAAATATTTTTTAAATGTCTCAGTTTTAATTTCCCATACAGTAAATACCATTTATATATATAGCTGACAGAAAGAAAAGCTCCTTGGGTCAGCTTGAGAACCATAGGAGCAGAAATTAAATTTTAATACAGAATTTATTCTGAGTCATATCTACATGTACATTATTTTAAATAAGAAGATACTGGCTTGGGGTTGGAGCGAGAGGGAAATGATCCAATTACCTCAGGTAACTGAGTTTTTGTACCAAAAGCAAACTTCAATTTTCAGCACAAATAATCCAATCCATCAATGAACTAAATCATAGATTGTGCCTAATTCTATAATGCTTTAGCTGTGCACAAAGGAAGGATTGACAGGTAGATGCCTTATGAATATAGCAAAAAAAACCTATCAAGGAAAGAAAATGAGGTAGAGAAAAAAATGCTAAACAGGTGAGAGGGCAGAATTACTAATGTTCAAAAACTTCAGTGGGGCTCTGAACTCTGTATCTATACAGACTTCCTATCCCCAGCCACTCATTCATATATACCAAGAAATCTACTTTGTCTAGCAGGTATGTTTACCACTTACCTCCAGCTAAGAGTCATAAAGGTAGATGTATTTGTTTCCATTTCCCCATAGGGAAGCCCAGATGTGGAGAATGCCATGCAAGGCCTCCAACATTTGAGCAAATGATTGTCTGATATTTCTGTTAGGCAGGAAAATAGGCATGAGCGGGGTAGAAAGTGAAAAAGGCCATGAAAGTCCATTAAAAAGACCCAGAGTTTATCAATTAGAGCTCAAAAAGCCAGGAGCAACTTGGCCTGGAATGTTCGAATATTCCCCAAATAAAGGAGGGTACCTCAGCATAGCCCATGTCTTTATTGTGTTAATCATGCAGGCCCACCTTATTTCTTACCTTTACCTATATGATGTTTTTTGTATTTTTTTTCCTCCTTCTAGTTCTAATAAAGTAGTTTGTAACCTAGGCAACTAATTTAGTATTCAGGCCCAGCCATAAACAACATATAGTAAAAGCCAGGAAGGATTCCATCTTAAAGATTGTATTTTAATAAACAGGAAGTTAAGAAGTAACATTCTTAACTTACTTTAGCAAACAGACAATAACTCAGCCCACCTTGGGGGCTGGGCAGGTGGCTTTGTTTGATATGCTCCCAGACCAAGACCCTGGAGAAATCAGCACAGGAAGTTCCTTGTGTTAATTCTAAGTATTCAAAGACCACTTAACAGGTCTGCACACCCAGGCCTTAGTCACATTCCTAAAGAAAGACCCCCCAACCTTTTGGGGCACTCCTCTTTCTGAGGTTGCTCACACTTTCTAACTATGTAACCTTTTAATCTTAAACTTTCTCCAAACTTTCATGGTGCCTCTCCTTGCTGAGGTTACCTGCTGTACTTCTTCTCTCTTTAAGAAAGTTTAAATAAAACTTTTACTCTGCTTCCCTACTATGTCTCTGCCCTTCAATTCTTTGTTGTGGCAGGGATAATGACTGAGGAAAATACACAACACTCCCCCAACATTTCTAATGACTGTGATAGCTGTTGTATTCCCAGGAGTTGAGCACAAAATTTGAAATCAGCCTATAGAACAAAGATGATCTTTCCTTCATTTGAAATTAAAAGAATTGTATGATTACATCACCACTATTTCAGGTCTATATATTTGAGCATTAACCCTATATGGCTCTTTATTAAGTAATAGTGGAATTAAAATATATACAATGCTCACACCCTCAAGAGTAGTTGCTAAAGGTTAAAACAACTAAATAAAAACAAGAGATGTCACCAATTCTCTCTCAAATGCATGACAGCCAATGAATACCCTTAGCTCTGAAGAAGGCCAGAATCGTTAGGCAGTTTTTCAGAGGAAGGTCTTAAAGTAGTCCTAAAGAATCATTTTTCTAAAACTCATTTAGTAGTAAATATTGAAAGAAGCAATAATGTGTTTTTAAATCACTAGTCCTGGCTTACCAAAACACTACTTTGGTAAAATACTTTAAAATAAAGTACATAACTAACATTTCTCAAAACAATTTTCAGCCTAAACATCAATCTTTTCAAACTATTAAATAATATAACTAGAAATAGTGGCAAAGTCCATTCTGAACATTTTTCCCAGAAAAATGTCACTTTTCAAATTATGGCTTAACAAATATTCATCTACAAGGATATTCATCCCAGAAATATTTTTAGTAGTAAAAAATTGGTTACCACTAAACAACAACTAAAAAAAAGGTCAAAGCCATACAATGCAGCTATTAAAACTGACAGTACAGTATTTGTTTGCAAGGGACAGTCACTCCATTTGCTGTGAAAGAACTACTAATCAGTATGGAGAATTATCCCATTTCACAAATAAATGCACATGTATTTAGCAATACACACAAATGATCAATTGAAGCTAATTATGAGTGACAGAATTTATTGGTAATTTTTATGTTCATAGTACTTATGAGAATGTGAACATGCCTACAATGAACACATATCAATTCTGCAGTAAGAAATAAAAATAGTATCATTAAAGAAGTTAATTCTATGTTCCTGACTAATCAATGCCTTCCTCCACCTTGACAGGTTAGTACACATCTCAAGATGTTTTTAAGTTCTTCTCACCCATAGTCAGTAGATGATAGAAATTTTTACAAGACAAATGTTTGCCCAAGGGTCAAAACCCTGCCAAAAAAAAAGAACTCTCAGCACGAGTTAAATAAATCTGCAGCCAAGCCTCTCCAGTAACATGAAGCACTTTGTGAACCCCAAAAATAAAACTATTAAAACAGTTTCTCAACAAGGAAAAGAATATCGGGAACTCTAAAATAAGGTGCTCAAGGGAAGTGTTCCATATGTGAATCCCAAACAAGATGGCTCTGACATGCATTGAGCACACCTGGCTGAAAACCCAGGGGTGCAAAAGTCAAGCCAATTGGCAGAGTTTCAATTTGTGGTCCAGGCTCTTTAAGGACCTAGAAAGGTAGCAATAGGAGACTTAAGGTATTTCAAATACTGAAGGAAAAGAAAAGGCTACTGAAAAACAACAGATTGCTGGTAATAGGACAGAACATATTAACTGAAGCAAAGTTTAATCCTTTGCTTCGAACTGAAATGTTACTGGCTCACTGCAATTATCACCAAAGCCACCTTTCCTGCTAACCAGTTATTGTATGTACCTGGTTAAAAATTGTTTTAATGGGGCAACGTACTACTTGTTTTATACAGCTTAGCAGACAAAATTTTCACAAGAGCTACATCAGAAAAAATAAATGATGACAGTGATAACATTGGGAGCTAGGACTGAAGGGATTCCAAGAATGACAACCCAGATTGCCTCTGAGGACGGCGAGGCAGCAGAAAGGTTTTCAGTTGGTGTGCAAGGTGGGAAAGAGCCAGTGTGGTCATGTGGCCATTGCCAGCACTGGCCTGATGACCTAGGGCCGGGACAGGAGTAAAGGGAGGGCTTCAACTATGCACCCATCAATTCCCACATGTGCACCTAGATATTTCAAAAAATAAACACCAGCTGCTGTAGTCCGAGTTGCCAATTCTCTTCTTCCCATTTGCTGCTGCACTGAATCACCAGTCCAGCTCTGGACACCTGGTTCTAACAACAGGGCAGCAGGGCCCCATTACTAATAATCACAGGGAAGAGCGCCAAGAGGCCATCTAATCTTGCTCTTTTCTCTGCTCAGCTCTACTTTACAGGCTAAACACTGTCCTAACAGGCTGCCAAAATTGTTTTGTTTTCCAAAACATATATTTTAGAGTTCATCCTCATAGGCTATTCATTTGCAACAAAATATCATAGCTATTTCCTCTTTTATTTCCTCTTTTAAAAAAACCCCTCTTAATAGTTCTTTGTATAGTAATACCAGTTTGATTTCTTCCCTCCCTTCACATCCTCTTATGGGCTATACCTATTCAAACGTTAAAATTCGTTTCCTACTAAACATTTGTTTTCTGTCTTATTTTTGCCAGCTTTGTGTTCTAAACAAAATTTGTCAATGTTCACCATTTTCAAAAAGGCACAGAAAGACTATTAGTATGCCATTGTGGGCCACAACAATTTTACTTAAAAAAATTAACCACTTGAGATTCTTGTTCTTGCTTTACTTATATGAAAAAGGTCATATGGTAAACAGGCACCATCTTTTCATAGCTTAAATGTCAATTTGTCAACTTTCTGAAAGGACAGCACAGAATGCAAACCAGTTTAAGTCCTCTCAGCTTGGCAAATAATTGATATGTCTGCTCCTCAGCCCTGTGATGATTAATTACACCACCCCATCCAGCAAGGCTCCATTAGGCTTGACTCACGCAGTCATCAGTGCATCCACTCCACAAGATGGTCTAACAGAGCCCACGATGTGGAAGATCAGGAAATGAATGCTAAGCTGGTGCTAGACCTCTTGGCCCCCAAAGTTTGTGAACTTGAAAAACTCACATTAAAACTTGATACTGTGAGGGGCTGAAGCAATTTCAGACATAAAAATAGGACACAAAGGAGCCAGGATGGTGGCATGAGTAGAGCAGTGGAAATCTCCTCCCTGAAACACATAGATCTATGAAAATATAACAAAGAAAACTCTTCCTAAAATACAGACCAGAGGACACAGGACAACATCCAGACCACATCCACACCTGCAAGAACCCAGCGCCTTGCGAAGGGGGTAAGATACAAGCCCTGGCCAGGCGGGACCCGAGCGCCCCTCCCACCGGCTCCCGGGGGGTGGAAAGAAACCGGAGCGGTTTTTTCTTTTGGTGAGTGCTTTTTGGAAGCCTTAAAGGGACAGGGACCCTAGTAAAAGGCAGGAAGGATTCCATCTTAAAGATTGTATTTTAATAAACAGGAAGTTAAGAAGTAAGATTCTTAACTTACTTTAGCAAACAGACAATAACTCAGCCCACCTTGGAGGCTGGGCAGGTGGCTTTGTTTGATATGCTCCCGGACCAAGACCCTGGAGAAATCAGCGCAGGAAGTTCCTCGTGTTAATTCTAAGTATTCAAAGACCACTTAACAGGTCTGCACCCCCAGGCCTTAGTCACATTCCTAAAGAAAGACCCCCCAACTTTGGGGGGCACTCCTCTTTCTGAGGTTGCTCACACTTTCTGTGTAACCTTTTAATCTTAAACTTTCTCCAAACTTTCATGGCACCTCTCCTTGCTGAGGTTACCTGCTGCACTTCTTCTCTCAATAAAGTTTAAATAAAACTTTTACTCTGCTTCCCTACTATGTCTCTGCCCTTCAATTCTTTGTTGTGGCGGGGACAAGGACCGAGGAAAATACACAACACTCCCCCAACATTTCTAAGCACTGTGATAGCTGTTGTATTCCCAGGAGTTGAGCACAAAATTTGAAATCAGCCTATAGAACAAAGGTGATCTTTCCTTCATTTGAAATTAAAAGAATTGTATGATTACATCACCACTATTTCAGGTCTATATATTTGAGCATTAACCTATATGGCTCTTTATTAAGTAATAGTGGAATTAAAATGTATACAACGCTCACACCCTCAAGAGTAGTCGCTAAAGGTTAAAACAACTAAATAAAAACAAGAGATGTCACCAATTCTCTCTCAAATGCATGACAGGCAATGAATACCCTTAGCTCTGAAGAAGGTGAGAATCGTTAGGCAGTTTTTCAGAGGAAGGTCTTAAACTAGTCCTAAAGAGTTATTTTTCTAAAACTCATTTAGCAATAAATATTGAAAGAAGCAATAATGTGTTTTTAAATCACTAGTCCTGGCTTACCAAAACACTACTTAGGTAAAATACTTTAAAATAAAGTATATAACTAACATTTCTCAAAACAATTTTCAGCCTAAACATCAATCTTTTCAAACTATTAAATAATATAACTAGAAATAGTGGCAAAGTCCATTCTGAACATTTTTCCCAGAAAAATGTCACTTTTCAAATTATGGCTTAACAAACATTCATCTACA